GTGGCTGCGTCACCATGCTCAGGTCCCCCAACAAGACGACGGCCATCAAGCAGTGGGAGCAGCGCTGGATCAAGAACTGCCTGTGTGGGGGGCTGTGGCGGCGGCTGCCCCTCAGCTGCCCCTGACGGCGCCGGGCCGCCTGCTGCCCAGGAAGGCGGCTCCGCCCTGACCGGGGCGTGTCCCACACTCCAGGCCTGCCGCGGGCGGCGTCAGGCAGCCTGACCGCTCAGCGCTTCGTCCACCCCGCTGGCCCCACCGCACTGGACAGGCGGGCCGGGAGCTGCTGGGAGCCTGCGTCGGGTCCCCTCAGCCCGGAGGGCACCGCTTCCCCAGGAGGGGCCTCGCCCCTTCCGACGGTCCAGGCCCTCGCACTGCCCTGAGGGGCTCAGCCCGGAATCGGCCCTCGAAGTGGGCCTGCAGGTGACGCTTCCAGGCGGCTCTGAGCTGGCAGGCCCAATAAACACCTGGGAGTGCAGACCTCGCGTGGGCGTCAGGGGCCCCTACAGGCCCCCTCTGTTCTGCATGCACAGTTGGGGCCTTTCGTGCGGTCTGGGCTGTGCTCTGCTGGGCAGGGGTGGGCTGCTCCCAGTGTGCCGACCACCTGCCCTTCCTGCACTGCTCGCCCCTCGCCCCCACCCCAGGCCCTGCCTTCTGCCAGCCACCGCTTTGGCCTGCCCTGCTCTGCTCCCCGTGGGCCTCCAGCCGCACCTGCCTATGAAGTAGAAATCGGTTCTCTGGTTTTGCCCCGGAAGGCCGCGGGGAGGGAAGCCTCGTGGGAACCCTGCAGGGAGTCAGTGGCCGTGTGGCCGCTCCCGTGGGGGCACCCTGCGCACGAGCTTCTGGGGCTTTCGGGGTGGTGAGCGTCCGGGGAGCCCATTACCTGGGCCAGGGTTGTGTGAAGCCCAGCCGCCTGGCACGACACTTGAAATGTCACAGAGCTGGCCCTTCGGGGGACTCGAGGCGCTGGGCCAGCACAGGCTGCTCCTGCCCACTGCCCCTCGCTGAGATGGGCGTCTCCCGTGCACCGCCTGGTGGCAGGCAGGGCGCCCCACGGTGGTCAGGCCGTCAGCCGAGGCCGTGCGAAGGGCTGGCGCTGAGGCGAGGAGCAGAGCCCAGGCCGTGGGGTGGGGACGGCCTCTCCGAGGGTCCTTCCCGCTCTCTCTGCCCAGGCCTTGGCTGCCAGGGGCCAGTTGAGCTGCAGCGGTTTTACAGCAGGACGCCGACTCTCGGAGCCTGTGCAGCCTTGCGACAGCACAGCCCAGGGGACGGGCAGCCCCAGGTGGGCACTGGCTGGGGAGGGCAGCCGAGCCCAGCATGAGCCAGGGCACTTCGGGGGGCTCCAGCCCCGGAGACGAGCCCCCCGCCGCGCACGTGCTCCTGACCACGCGAGCAGGGCGCAGGGCCCGCTGCTGCTTGCACGGGCGCCGGAATAAGCCGCAAGTGCGCCGAGCCCCGCGGCCACAGATGCCCCTGGCTGGCCTCAAGCACGGGCTCTCCCTGGAGCCGGCGGCACCCTCCTGGAGCCCGCTGGGTTCTCCCGGGTAGACAGAGCTGCGGCGGGCACGTTCCCCGCCCCGACCGTCTCTAGTTCTGCCTCTGGGGCCGTCGCAGCGTGTTCCTGTCAGGCAGGAGGCAGGCCAGGTAGCAGGCCGTCCTGCGCTGCCCAACCCGGGGGAGCGTTCTGAAGAGGCCCTGTGGGGTCCAAGGGCTCAGGGCCTCAGCTCCTGGTTCCTGACTGGACTGCAGAAGCCCCTACTCTAAAGGGGCGCCTGCAGGGGACGCCTTGAGTGCGTCTCCCCTGAGGCCGCTGCCTCCGCGGTGCCTCCTGCCTGGAAGTCCCCCTTTGCTGCCAGCAAGCCCAGGACCCGGGCCCCATGTCCCCCTGTGGCCCATAAACCACCCCTGCCGGGCAGTTCTGCTCGGGTGCAGCTGGGTTTCTGACGAACAAGAATCGTGTTTTCATTGTAAGTCTCCGGCATCACATTGGATATACTTATTTTTTAAAGATGTATGCATACAAGAACTGGGGTACAGCCAGAGGGGCGGTGAGAGGGCTCCACAGAGACAGACTGGGGAGCAGAACAGGCAGGTCAATGACGTGCACTGCTGAGGGGGCAGCGGGGCAGGAGGGGTCACCTCCCGGCGGGCATGGGGCTCGCGCCGCAGGGGCCGCGGACAGCTTCGTGGTGCTGCGCTTCAACCCGAAGCCCCGGATATACTTATGAAAAGTATTTTTCTGAAATTCCTATGTACTGGACGTCTGGGGTTTTGTCGCTAGAGCTGGTCTATGGCCCCGGTAGCCCTTCACTCGGGAAGCAGCTAGTGAGAGAGTCTGATGCGAGGGCCCAGCAGCTGTTTCCCGGCCGCCGAGTGCACAGCTGCTCCCGCTGTGGCGGGCAGCGGACGGCGCTGCTTGCTGGCCACCTGCCCCGCCTTGCTTTCGGTGCAGGGGGGCACCTGGGGACCCTTGACTGGGGGGTGCTCAGTGTCACTCCAAGGTGAGCGTGCCATAGTAAAAGCCAGAGTCAGTCTAGTGCCAATCTCCAGGGCCCCCTGGGCTGCCGGACCTCCCCTGTGGGGCCTCCTCTCACCAGAACCCTCCTAGCAGCCCAGGCTCGGGCCGGGGAGGGGCCACTAGTCGGTGTTGGGTTTCAGTGGCTCTTGTCCCACTCAGTAGAAAGGACACAAGTCCTTGGCTGGGTCTTGTCCTTGGTCACCTCCCTCCTCGTTGCCCAGGGGGTAAGCAGATCCCAGGGCAGCGTGTCACCTGCCGCGGCCAGCGCGGTGGGGCCAGGACACCTGCAGACCTCACTGTGAGTGCAGGTGGGGACCTGGCTTCCAGTCCGACCAGGGCAGGGGAGGAGCCAAGGGCTTCTCTGCCTGCTGCCCCGCTGGGGACACGGGCAGCGCGCACCCTCGGAATGTCTATTTACAAAGTCTCCGTCCGGAGCAGGACCTTGCAAGGCACAGAAGGACCTCACGTTTCCCTGGGTCGCAATGGGGTGCAGCGCAACGCGAGTGGGCTTCAGGGTCTGGGGGTGCCCCTGGGCGCCACCGTGCGGCCGCGCGACCCTGGCGGCTCCAGTGCGAGTCTGAGGCTCAGCGCCGCGTCCCTCGGCCCTGGGGTCAGCAACGCGGGCGCTCGCGGCGTGCGGCCCCGCCTCCCCCGGGTTCCCGACCGAGGGCTCCCGCGCGCAGCTCATGGAAAGTCGGCCGCATACGGGACTGGATGCTGCGGGGCGGATGACTTTATTGACGGGGACTCAGCGCCGCCTCCCTCCCCCGGGGTCTCAGGCGGGCGCGGCCCCCGCCATCACGCCGTCGATCCAGGCCGCGTAGCTCGCCAGGCGCGTGTAGATGCCGGGCTTCTTGCGGTTGCCGCAGACTCGCGAGCCGGAGCTGACCACGGCCTCGGCCACGCCCCCGCACACCAGCGGGCCGCCGGAGTCGCCCTGCGCGGGCGTG